CATTCCTTGTCATTACTCCTGCATGTTTTCACTCATTCTTGTTCCACCTTTTAACCAGCCAGCACCACTGTTGGCATAAAAAGATGCTTTGAAAGTCCTTTCAATGCTGCTCGCAGAAGAGGTTCTGAGTCTTAGAGAATGAGCTCTGTCTTTCATCAGTAAGTGTTTTCACTCATTTTGTGCTTCACTCTTGTGCATTCTGGCTCCTGTGTGCAGCTGGAAGGGTGACTGCAGATGTTGTCACAGCAATGGTACTGTCACAGCACGACAGCTGAGGGGAAAACATGTGGCAAAACTGGTGATGTTTTCTCAGAGAACTGGTACAACTGGTACAAGCCAGGTAAAAACTGATTTGCTTCTGGACACCAGGACTTGGCAAGAATTAATTTGATATTGTAGTTACAATTCTCCCCTTTGACAGGATTATATAAACTGTCTGTCAGATTAGGGGCTTGAAATGCTTTATCAGTGAGAACATACATTCATGGGTGCTTTCAACAGAGCTGCAGAGTCACTTCTGATAGGGAGAGGCATAGTGGGCATCTGCCAACAGGGCAGCTGTGCATCCCTTCATACAGTTCAGTGTTTGTGTTGTTCTTACAGAGGGAGATTGGGATGCCAGTTTCAGATCTGTGTGAGCAGAAGGAATCCAGAGAAATCAGCCTGTTCACAGGTGACACCACCCCAAAGCTGGCCTACAATGATAGTTCAGGCAGTGATGATTTCTGAACCTTTTTGTGTTGTACATTGGGTCAAAAAGAACCGTACCAGAGGAGCACTGGTTATTTGTGGCAGTGGGGAACAAGGGCTGGGGTTCCACAGAGTGCTTACTTTGCTTTCAGCTTCGTTTTCCCTTGAAAAATAACATCCAATTTTCATAGAGACTCTACTAACACAGCATGAAATACAGAGGGCACAGCAGAGCAAGGAATGTTAGCCAGGTGGTAACTGATGCATTGGGATGGTACTGGATCTGCCAGGAATAGGGCATGGTGACATTGTCACCACTAAAAGGATGCCATCCCCTGAAAACTGATTGCAGTGCAACTCCTCTGCTAAATTCTGCAGAGCAGAAAGTGTGTGGGATGCTGCAGTGGAGGGAAATTCCCCGTTATTTTGGGAATGAGAGAGCTGAGAGTGCAAAGACGAGGCTCAGGGGATGCCTGTGGGAGTGCACGGCGCTCGGAATGAAAGCCGGCAAAGCTGCATCCTCTGGAGGATGCGATTCCGAACCTCGCCGGTGCTCTGGGCTGGGAGCGAGGGCAGGAGGGAAAGCTGGGTTCTGCGGCTGGGGAAGGCGTCGGCAGAGCAGAGTGTCAGCTCCACCCGCAGGGCAGCCGAGGAACGCGGCAGGGAACGCAGGGATGCTCCTGCTGCTGCTGCATTTCGGGGGGAAACCGGGAGCACCTCCTCAGCACTCAGCACGGCGCCTGCCTTCCGAGCCGTGATGCCATGCTGCCACTCGCTGCTTTTCTTTCTTTTCTTTCTTTCTTTCTTCCTTCCTTCCTTCCTTCCTTCCTTCCTTCCTTCCTTCCTTCCTTCCTTCCTTCCTTCCTTCCTTCCTTCCTTCCTTCCTTCCTTCCTTCCTTCCTTCCTTCCTTCCTTCCTTCCTTCCTTCCTTCCTTCCTTCCTTCCTTCCTTCCTTCCTTCCTTCCTTCCTTCCTTCCTTCCTTCCTTCCTTCCTTCCTTCCTTCCTTCCTTCCTTCCTTCCTTCCTTCCTTCCTTCCTTCCTTCCTTCCTTCCTTCCTTCCTTCCTTCCTTCCTTCCTTCCTTCCTTCCTTCCTTCCTTCCTTCCTTCCTTCCTCTCTCTCTCTTTCTTTCTTACTTTCTATTTTTTTTCTGTAGTGGACAGACCCTGCCCCAGGATTACCTGGCCCTTCTGGCTGGGATCTTACCTGGAACCAAGTAATGGAGGTGAGTTTAAACTCACCACCAATTCTCACTCAAATTGAGTTCAAAAGAGTGGAATCATGCCTGAATATCAACTTTCTGCTTCAGTTTCAAGAGGTGGATTGTTGATCACCACATCTCTGTATCCCCTCAGCAGTTGCCAGGTGTCTCTCAAGCATTTCAGGCTGTTTGCTTGTGAGCAGGGCTCCTTTTTGGCACTCATTCTTCCCGCCCGTTTCCCGCGGGCAGAGCGGAGCGCTGTGCTGCTGCTCAGGGGCAAGGACAGAGGGACGAGGCTGCACAGAGCTCCAGGCCCGCTCTGGGCTCCCCTGGGGAGGCTGCAGTGCCCAGGCCTGCCCAGCTCCTTCCTGTGGCCCCGCAGGCAGCGCAGGGCGATGGAGCTCTGGGAGCAGCCTCCAGGGCCTCCTGCTGAAACGGGCTCACAAAACAGGGCACGAAATGCTGAGGAATGTCTCACAGGAGCACCAATAAAAGATACCTCAAAGTCCTGTGTGTATTGGGTGTACTTTAACTTAACTCATTGCAAGCATTTGCACGCTGAAATTTGGTCTTTTCCACTTTCTCGTTTCCCAAGCAGCACAGAGCCTCCAGTCTGTCTCTTCTCAACCAAAGGTGAGCAAACAGTCAGGACCTAATTTGGGACACAGTTCTGTTCATCTCATTTTCAATCACTTTTTTTGTTTTACTTTTAATGCCTCTAGCTAACTATGTTTTGAATTAGTCTCCAGAGACTGAATGGTTCTGTTTGTTTTTAACAGATGTGACTGAACAGATTCTGGTTTATTCTGCTGTTGGTAAATAATTTCCTCACCAAAATGAAAATATTTACCTGGTTCTAAATATTTTTTTCCTAGAGGTTAACCAAAATGCCTTGCTGGTTTCTTTTCCCATTTTTTATCATTAGAAAACACCTATAACACTCCAGACAACTGAAGCATATCAAATATGAATGAAAATAATATTTCTTCTGCAATTACACGTTTCTGGCATTCTGATGTTCATTAGACATCATGAAGTAATTGTTCTATTTGTCAGTGTATATTCTACACAGCAACACACTGTGAATGAGAATGTTATTCCTTCTCTCAAGCACCAAAAGTGCTTTGAGATGTCCAGGTTTATTTTTGCACTGAGAACTAAGCATGTTGGGATCTCTAGCTGAAAACACTGTTGAAACACCCAGCTAGTATTTATGGTATTGTATTGCTGCCTTAGGGCCAGGAGATACCAAACGAACTGTATCAAACTTTCTTCCCGATTTCCTTCCTTCACCCCATTACCCCCTAATTCCCTTAGTTACTGCTCGGCCCTGAAAGCTGCCCCAGAACAGCCAAGGCTCCGTGTGCTGACAGTCTGGAAGCACTGGCTGCTCGCTCAGGCTCTGGGGCAGTCCGCAGCGTTTCCCAGCGGCTCTGGAAGGTGTGGCTGAGACGGTGAGCACAAATGGATGGGGCGGATCTGCCTTTTGTGCCAGGGACTGGAGAGTGGCTCTGAAGGTGGGATCTGCCCCTGAGACACTGAGAGGAGCTGAGCGTGCCTCCCTTGCTTCAGCCTGATTATCAGAGAGGGGCTTCCTACGGCTGGGGTCGCTCTGCTGGCATGAAACCATGGCACTGGGATTTAGGAGGGCTGAGGGCCGTGCATGGGCACCCTCACCCTGGTGTGCAGAGGGATTCCCAGAGGGAAGCCCGAGCTGGGCACTGCCGCAGGTGTGCAAGGGTCACGCTGCTGCTCCTTGGTTTGTGGGTGGCTGCTCTCTCCGAGCACTGCAGCAGCAGCCCCAGAGGGCTGGGGCACCATCAGCCCCTCACCGTGCTCCCCTCACAGACCCAACCATCCTAGTGGGCACAGAAAATCAGAGAATATCCTGAACTGGAAGAAACCCAAACGGATCACCAAAATCCAACTCCTGCTCCTGCACAGGACAGCCCCAAGTACCCACGGTGAGCCGGAGAGTGCTCTCCAAACGCTTCTTGAGCTGTGCCGGGGTTGATCCCATGAGCGCTTCCCCGGGGAGCCTCTGGCAGTGCCCAGCACCATCTGGGTGCTGACACAGACACGGACCCAGCTTCGTGTCCTTCCCTCGGGTCCTTCAGGGGCCACCGCGGGGATGAGAGCGGTGCTTGTCCCTGTGCTTCCTCTCACAGGGAGCTGCGAGGTGTCCCCCAGCCCCTCAGCTCCAGGCTGCAGAGGCCAAGCGCCCTCAGAGCTCCGTGCAGGAGCCGCTGAGGGACGGGCGCTGAGGGACGGGCGCTGAGGGACGGGCTCGCTCTGCCCAAGGCTCTGCCGTGCCCCGCTTTGCTCCGTCCTCCCGGAGCCCCTGAACCCGCGGATGTTCCTGTGGGATGTCCTTCGTGCGGGACACGCTCTGACCGGGCGCTGATCGCGGTGATGGCGGCCCGGGGCTCTCAGCTGGGCCCGAGGCCGGGCCGGGGGCTGGGGGGGTCCCGGCGGGGGAGGGAGGCCGGGCCGGGGCGGGCGGGGGTCGGTGCCGCCGGGGCGCCTTGGAGAAGCTGCGGCCTCTGCCGGGGAAGGGAGCCAGGCGCCGGCAGGGAAGGAGAGAGGGGGAGAGCGGCCGGTGGGAGCCGGGCCGAGGCCGGAGCGGAGCTCCCTCCGTGGCCGGGTTCCCCCCTCGCTCGGCGCCCGCGGCGGGGCGGGGCGGGCGTGGCGCCGAGCGGAGCCCGCAGCACCGAGGTCTCCCTCTCCCCCCCTCCCTCCCTCTCTCCCCCCCTCCCTCCCTCTCTCCCCCGGCGGCTGCGGGCCGGGCAGCGAGGCCGGAGCCCCCCGCGGCCGGGGCGGGGTGGAAATTTACCGGGTCGGTGCTCAGCGAGGGGCTCGGCAGGAGGCGGAGGGAGGGCGGGGAGCGGCGGAGCATCATCTGGCGGGGAACGCGAGGGACCAAATGACTGTGAGCAAGGGCGGCAGCCGCCACCGCCGCCGAGAGAGCAGCGAGCCGCAGCGGCAGCAGCAGCCCCGCTCCCCCGCGGCGATGGCGGCGGGCGGCGGCGGGGCTGAGCGGAGCTGAGCCGGGCCGAGCCGGGCCGGGCCGGGCCGGGCCCCCGCCCGCGGCCCCGCATGGCGCGGGCCTGATGTCGGAGCGCGGCCCGGAGCCGCGGCGGCGCTGCGGGAGCAGGAGGAGGATGGCGGGGCTGGCGTGGAAGTGGCCGCGCACCCGCCTGCCCGTGGGCGCCAGCGCCCTGGGCGTCTTCGTGCTCTGCTGGCTCTACGTGTTCCCCGTGTACCGGCTGCCCGACGAGAAGGAGATCGTGCAGGGCGTGCTGCTGCAGCAGGGCAAGGCGTGGAGGAGGAACCAGACCGCGGTCGCCCGGTTCAGGTACCGCCGTGCGCGGCCCAAGGGCAGCGGGGACGGGCAGCGGGGACCGCCAGCCGCGCCCGCAGCCCGCCCGGCCGCTCCGAGCCCCAAACTTTATTCCTTCTGCCCCGACCCTTTGTTCTGTCACGGTGGGCGGGCAGGGCCCCTTCTGCCCCGCAAAACTTTTTGGGGTGGTTCCACTGGCTGCGGAGGGGAAGGGGCTCGGCGCGGGGATGGAGGCTTGTCCCGCAGGGATGCGCTGCCAGCGGGGTGAGGGCTCCGAGGCTGCGGCGGCGCCCGCACAATGGGATGCTTCTCGCTTGGCGGATAGCAGGCACCGAACAAAGCTCCGGGGCTGCTAACAAAGCCCCGGAGAGAGCCCGGCCCGTGCGGCTCCCGGGATGCGCAGGGATTGATGTCTGTGCAGAGAACCCGGGATGTGCAGGGATGGATGTTTTTGCACAGATCCGGGATGCTCAGGGATGTCTGTGCAGAGAACCCGGGATGTGCAGGGATGTCTGTGCAGAGAACCCGGGATGTGCAAGGATGGATGATTTTGCCCAGACCCCGGGATGCTCAGGGATGTCTGTGCAGAGAACCCGGGATGCTCAGGGATGGATGTTTTTGCACTGACCCCGGGATGCTCAGGGATGGTTTCCGCGGATGTGCACCCGAGCAGCCTCGGGAGGCTCCGCGCTGCTGCTGGGCTCTGTGTGGTTTCTTAGAGAAGCCACGTGAAAAGGCACCTTTTCCCTCTCCTCTCTGCTCCTGCCGTGGCTGGGACATGGCCATGATCCCTGGGGCCCGCTTCGCCTGCCCAGCTGCACGGGAGAGGGGCAAGCTGCAGCCGAGCTACCCCCGCTGCCAGCCGGGGAAACCCAGCGGGTCCCTGCGCTGGGCAGGAATCTTTAATCACTCTCCTTTAAAAGCGTCTGCAGCGGAGACCTGCATCCCCTCCAAAATTCCTCACGTGTTTGGGTGAAATACAGGCAATTGGAAGAGAGGCAGATTTCCCTCCCTTTCTTGGAGAAAAGCTGGATTTTTGTTCCTGTAGCAAGTAGCAAAGTAAAGATCAGAGTGAGTGGTAATCAGAATGCCCCCAGAAACACCCTCTTTAGTAAAATGAATCAGATCCAAAATTCAAGGGACTTATTTTCCTTTTTAAAAATATTTTTTGTTTGTTTTTAAGCGGCATACAGGTTTATTTTAAGCTCTTCAGTATTCTCTGAATGTATTTGCCTTTGTCATGAACTGGAGCTGATGTTAATATCAAGCTTTGACAACATCAACAGGATCCTTACAGTTCTTGAAACGCACATTTGTTGGGTAGCCCCCAGAGCCTGGAGGAAGTCTGAGCAGTGATGGGTGATGAGCAGGAATGTACTGATACCCTCTCATTAGGCAGGCCTGGAAAAAGCCCTGTCTTTAATACAGAACAGGCTATAAGTTCCAATAAGATGCAGGATCCCTCTCCTAAAGCACTTAACTAACCCTAGAAGCTACGTTGATCTTCTTGATTATTAGTTAATCTTGATCCTGTGCATGAAATTCCCCCATTTTGGGGGGCACATGAATCCAGCTTTTCAAAAAATTGCCCCATAGGTTATGTAGGAAAGAGTTTGGTCTATCAGTTGTCATGTTAATAAACCAAATGTTTGAAGAGTGATAGTGCTGCTGCAGCTCCAGTTTACAAAACAGTTTCAGACCATTTCCACCACATGGTTTAGTAACAAACTCTGTGTGGCTTATCAGCTATTCCACTTGCCCACATGTTTTTCTACTCTCTAAGCACAGTGATTATCTCAGAGATGCTATTGAAGGGAGTCTCATGCAATAAAAGGAGCTGTTGTTTCTTGTCTGAGCCTCTTGATGAGTTCTTACAGCACTAAATACAATGAACTTTAAATCAACCTGCTTTAAGAGTAGTTTTTAAGAGAAATTGTGTGCTGGAGATATGTAGTGAGTAGAGTAAACTGTATTATTCCAACACTTGTGAAGTAGAACTCTATTTTTGCTGCTTTAATTTGCTTCTCTTCATGATGGAAGATTTTGAAGTTGAAGCCCGTGTCAGGCAAGCTGCTGTGTATTTGAGGTTAACAGAAACTCTTTGCTCTGCTGCTGATGTCCCTAAGCAAGCCAGCTGTAAAAACTCCAAATTTAACTTTCTGCTGGAAAATTCCAGAGAAGGTCAGTCTCTGTTGGAATGGGAAAGGAGGGATAGAGCTTCACAGAAAACCTGCATGTGAACTTTCAAGTAATATGGCTTTCCATAATAGTCTAATGTAAAGTATTCTTTATTATTAATCAAATATTGCTGAAGAGCAGTGTTAATTGCTGTTCTCCCTAGCCCTCCTGCCACGTTCTGGTTAACAGGCAATTTTGGTTTCACTCCGTTTGAAGCATAAGTTGGAATTAATCTGGGCTGTAAGTCCAGTTCTGCTTTGTGTAATGGAGTGGCACTTGTGGGATTGCATAGCCAGGCTCTTGCTACCCAGAGCAAGCACCTGCTGGGTTTGGGGCTTTCTGCTCCCATGGACTCACTGGACTCCTATTGCTGAACTGGATCTTGGGTGATTAATTCGATGAAATAACATTTTCCAAACCTCAGAAAGACTATTCCCCTTTGCCTTCTGTACCAAGGAGAACTTCACTAAGTGACTTGGCAAGTTCAGGGAAACCATTGGGGCAATTTGGGGTAGTTTGGGTTGAACCCTGGCAGCCAAGTGGTGGTGGCCCCTCAGTCTCCACTGCTGCTTCCTTCTCCTCTCTGCACAGCCAGAAACCTTCAGGAAAGATCTGGCCCCTTATGCAGGAGCCCAGAGTGGCCTGGTTCTCGTGGAATGATTCAGTGGGGGTTTTGTGCTTGAATGCATTTCCAGAAAATACCTGCATAATTAGCCATGGATGCCTTTAAATTTCAAGAGACTAGAGGTTGAGGGTAGTCATACAGTGAAAGCATCTCCTGTCTGACAAATGCTGAATATTCTGTCAGTCAGATGGTAAAACTGCTCAATTTTGAGCTGCAAAGTGGTCAAAATAGGAGCAAGATCATCATTAGAGCCACTAATAGCTAATGTGTCTAATCTGCCTGCAGTATAATGGCTTGTCATCCTCTGAGGTGGTTAATGTTATTGAGCCCTAATTGTTTTCACAGATTGCTTAGGGGGTTTTTAGGGCCTCGTGCTGCTGAGATTATTTAGGCAAAAATGGTTTTACTTGTTGTCTGCTATTTGCTGAAGTAAATTGCATACAGTAATACCTTTAGGATGATTCTGTTTAAAATACTGCAATTCATTAAAGGCAGAACTGGATCTTTTTATCTGCCTGACAAGCTCCATAGAGCCACATAGAATCCCAAGCACTGCGTGTTTATGTGACACTGCCATTCATTTGTGGGGGATGGAGCTCCTCTGGGGAGTGGGAGCGCTGTGGGGCCAGTGGGTTTGGGCTGCCAGCAGCCCCCTGGAGGGGCTGCATGATGGGGAGAGCCTCAGAGGCTCTTCAGGAAGAGCTGGGGCAGTCCCTGCCAGACACCAGCAAGGCTTCTCTGGGATTCAGCCGTGTTCTTGCTTCTGCTGCTTCACTTTTGTGGGATGCTGAAAGGTCACCAGGGATTGTTCTGGGGGTGACTTGGCCAAACGGGTGGCAGAATTCCCCTGTGAACTCACTGCTCATGACCTGACTGCAGCCAGAGCATCTGCTACAGCTTGTCTGTGTGTCTTTGTGTCCTTGTGTCTTTGTGTCTTTGTGTCCTTGCTCCCCAGTGATGGCTCTGGCACTGCCAAACTGGCCCTGCTCCCCTTGGCTGGGGTGAGCCGCTCCTTCCCAGCAGATTTGTCCATTTGCCATGGCATCACCCAGGGCACAGAATTCCCAGGCCCTGGTTTTGGCAGTGGGGATGTGCCCAGGCTGTGCAGCCTCCCCTGCTGCTGCCCTGCAGGAGCCCTGCTCTGCTCCCAGGTGCCAGAGGGGCTTTCCCCCCTGGAATGCCCCCTGCCAGCTGCTTCTGTCTGCACGGAGTGCAGCACAGCAAGGGTTTCCTTATTCACATGGGGTTTTTCCTTCTCTTTTTATGGCAGCACTGCAAATTACGTGAGTCTGGGGATCCTCACTGGGCTATTTCAGGGCAAATCTGAGATTAAGCTTTGCATTGCTCAGGTTGGCTTTAGATAAGACTTTGGCCCTTCTTAAACAGGTTCATCAGATACAGAGTTATCCCTGCTTTCCCTGGATGCATATGAAGGACAGAGCTAGGAATAGGTCAGGGAGATGCTGGATTAGGTTAGTTCTGCCTCTATGCCCTGAGAAGCCCTGCCCTGAAACTCATGGATATGCCCACGTGTTGAGCCAAATCCAGTTCATTTTTCTGTCCTTAGTGCTACTGTCTGGCTGTGTTTTCATGAACATTTTACTTGATTTTGTTGTTGTTGCTGTTGTATTTGCTTCATTGGTGGTAAATGGAGTATTTGCAGTTTGTGGTTTCCAGCTGGGATGAGAAGTAGTTTTGGTGAAGAGGTACAGTTTTGAGGAGCAGGTTAAAGGTGAAAGAAATGTTCTAATTGCATGTTGTTATTTGGAGGCTGTGATGAAGAAAGCAAGCTGTAGAGAGGCTTGGCTCCATATCGTCAAGGAGGATACCTGAATGACATGGAAACAAGGAGAAATAGTTATCTGAGTTAGCTCACAGTGCCTTTGCAGATGAGAGCTGTGCTGGCAAGGTAGGAATTGATTTAAATTCCTGAGTTCCAGCTCCTGCTCTCTCCTTCCTTGACCCTAGCAGCATTTTCTTGCAGACTCTGGTTGGCAGTGCTGGTGAAACAGACTGCTGCGATCCCTGGTATCCTGCTCCGTGTTGGATTGCTGCTCTCCTCTGGATTTGTACAAGCCCCAGTCTGCCAGTGGATATGGGAGGATGTGGCCAGCTCCATGAGGCTCCTTCCCTGTTAGCTGGGAGCAGCCAAGGGCCCACAGCCAGGCTCTGGGGACTCTGCTGGAATTCAGGTTACCCAGCTGGGGCCCCC